TCCCTTCACTGGCTTCCGGTAACTGCTAGAATCCACTTCAAGACACTGGTACTTGCTTACCATGCTGCCAATGGATCTGGCCCTTCGTACATCCAGGACATGGTTAAACCGTACACCCCAGCGCGTGCACTACGCTCTGCATCAGCCAAACGACTCGCTGCACCCTCGCTGCGAGGGGGACCCAAGTTCCCATCAGCAAAAACACGTGGGTTTGCTATCCTGGCTCCAAGATGGTGGAATGAGCTCCCCATTGACATCAGGACAGCTGATAGCTTGCACATCTTCCGGCGCAAACTGAAAACTCATCTCTTTCGACTCCACTTCGAGCGATAGAACTATTAACAAAGCACTTATATACTAATAAAGGACTGGCTTATCTAAAGCCAGTTGAGTAGCACTTGAAATGTTTGGCTCTATGAAACCTGATGTACTTATATGATTCTGTTTTCTTCAAGGTTGTGTCTTCCTGGTCGAATGTACTTATTGTAAGTCGCTTTGGATAAAAGCGTCAGCTAAATGCAATGTAATGTAAAAAGTCTTCTCATCAGGGCTCTATAAATAAAGAACTACGGCAGATATGTAATATTTAATGCAGCCGAACCGTGTATTACAATGCCGTTATGTGATGACTTCCAAAGAGAAAAGCAAGAACACTCGGAATAAAGTATTTTTTAAATTTTTTTAATTCTGATATCATATCGCATTAACATCATATCCCAACATGCATTGCGGCTAAAACATCCAATCAACGAGCTTCAAGCTGAGGATCTTGGGTAATCTGTTCAGTGGGTTTGTGGTGTGTATCGCTCGAAATGTCCCTTATAGGCCTATGTCTATTTCCGGTGACTTTATATACGGCTAAAATGCCCAAGATTATAGAATTAAACGAATGAATAGAAACAAGGATAATTGTGTGTTATTGTTGAGTAAATAACAGTGTTATTTAGAAAAGAATAACAAATTAGAAGGAAAAAACGATTAAAAAAAATACAGATTTCAGTATTTTGAGGCTCTAAGCCCCATTTATTTTCCTCACAGATGGCACAAAAAGTCCGACATTATACGATTTAAAATAAAAACAAATAAATAAAAGACAAAACACTGGCATGTAATTTTAAGTTAGAATAAATCGAATGATTTTGAATAATGAGAGCCTGACATCATCAAATTAAATTTGTTTTAATGTTTGAGGTGCAATAAACGACACAGCAGCTTTTTGGCATGTTAAAACTATTTTCTGCCTGGCTCATGAGAGTAACAGCTGGCGAAATTACAGCCTTGCCTACTGATTTCAAATGTGTGCTCTAAATTGATATTTATAAATGACTATTATCAAGATTTTAAGCAAAAAAATAAATGGCGTATTTAAGATACGTTCATAAGAAACGTAACGTTGGAGAAAATATGTTTCTAGAAGATATGTAGAAAATAAACGTATTTGAGATACGTTCATAACGAACGTAACGTGGGAGAAAATACGTTTCTAGCTAAACGTAATTGAGAATGCAGTTTAGTTCTATGGGAACGTAATTTTTAGGAGACAGGGTTGGTTCAAAGATTGCAATGCTAGTGATTGAACAGCATTTTTCGTTGATTAATTGTTTTGGCCTCTGTATGTTTCATTTGAAGTTGAAAAAGAATGTGACATTATAGATTCTGATAATGCTACTTAAATCCTTCTTAATGGCAAATACATGTTTATCTGAAGTTGTAATTAAGAGCTGCAGAAAATATTGTTGAAGTGTTTAAAAATGTTAAAAACAAGCTGTCATGCATACATTCTATAGTCTTTTATTAAAAGGCAGCCAGGTTTGAACGCTGTCAGAACGTTTTACAGTTCAATGCTATTGCATTACATATTTAAATTTTAAAGGAGCGATATGCAAGCTAGTTTAACATGTTCATATGCATATTTTGAGTCAAGTGATCTTGATTTACTTTATACTTGTATTTATTTTTTACATAAGTGCAAATTGGTTGCATAATTTACTCTTAATTGTATTTATTTATGTATTTATTTTTAATTTAAAAAATGTTGTATTTTATTATAAAACAGAATAGGTGATGCATATTTTAAAGACATAGTTTAAAGACATCCCAATCGCTGTTAAGGTGTAAAGAATATTCCTGTCTTTATGTGAACTGAGCTAAACTAATTGTTATAAGTTTAAGTCTAAATGTAATTTGTTTACAGTAAACAAAACACAGTATTGTATTGATGTACATTAGATAAAGTTTTTGCTTTGTAATAAAAGAAAATATATTAAAGGTGGGGTATGTAATTTTGGAGAAACCAGCTCGAGTGCGCTAGAATTTGAAAATACACAGCCGGAAGAAATCTGCTACTTCCTTACAGAGCCCCTCCTCCAACACCTGTCCAACACACACGAACGCGCACATGACCAATGAGGGCATGAGATAAGATTGTGCACAGGTGGAAGGCTGACAGGCAGGTAGGCCATCCAGTTATTTTAGCCGAGCCGACTACAATGATTGGTCGTGCTTTTTACAGTACTACGGCTTCCACAGATGACATTTTTTATGGATTTTTTGTCAAAGCACTTTAGATATTCATTGCTATCGGGATGTTAAGAGGATTCCATGGAATATAACAAAGTGTATCTCGAGCCGGTTTCTCAAACTTACTTACCCCACCTTTAAGCTATGATAAAAAATATTGCCTGCAACAAAATGAAGTATTTTTAAAAAAAATGTTTTATCAAACTTAAAAACTCTACTTGGATCTAATAATAAATATGAGGTTAGTCCAAAAGGAACAATTAAATTATAACTAACAAAGTAATAAATGTTGTGCGGTCTCCAGAATGAATCATCTTATTACTTTGTGTGAATGTAAATATATATCTTAGACGGTAGCAATATTTTTGACTTAACTCCACTTAATTTGAGGTCAAAAAAATTATTTGGAATAAACAAAAAAAATGTGCTGTAACAAATGAGTGAAAACTTTTTTTAAGTTGATCCAAAGTATCAATTCAGTGCATGTGTTACTTTGTTATACCTACATTTCTCCATTTGGACTGAGTTCATGTTTATTATTAGATCAAAGTAAAGTTTTTAATTATACATTAATATAATTTATTTATTTAAAAGCAAAAACGTTTTATAATGAACATCCATTTTTTTTTACCGTAAATAAATTACATTTACTACTATATCAAAGAAGAATTTTGACTTTTAAACTTAAAACGCTTCTTTACACTCAGTTCACATATCCATAAAGACAGGAATATTCTCTTCAGACCTTGACATTTATTGAGATGTCTTTAAAATATGCATCACCTATTGAGGGACTGCAGATGGAAATTAGCTCAAAGCTAAATCTGGCACTGTTACGCTTGACACATTTGAATGTTTTAAGTGTTGATTACAGTGCATTATCCCTGCTAAATAAACAATAACAATTCTGTTTTATTATAAAAAACACCTCCCAAAAAACTCCCAACATTTAAAAAAATAAAATGAATGCAGTTATTTTCTTTTGCTGACTACGCATCCTCTGGAACTTTACATTAAACGAAGAACCCTTGCATTACACTGTATTTGAATACAAGCTTTAGAACAAAAAACATGCTGTATTTCATGTATCCAATACTTAAAGCTTGACACTCGGACTGCAAACTCTGCGTGTCATTTTCTTTGTTCAATCGCCATGAACGTTTTCTGCAGGGCATCAAATGTGTATTTGAGCTCACTGAGATAGCTCAAGTTTAGAGCAAAGATGAAGCCCAATAACATGGCACATGCATGTGCAACTGATGGCATCTCATTGAAGACTTCCACACCTTCAACGATGAGTCCGATGTGCTGTGGTGGAAGGAGAGGATCGTGCTCCTCCCTGATGAAAAACACCGCCATTGTACACTGCTCAAACTCTGTGTCGGATGTATCCTTCTGCGAATCCTGATAAACAAGAAATGAATTAGAACGTTATTCTGATGTCACCAACGCCTGATGTAGTACAAAGAATAATAATTGATGTTCTTTACTAACCACAAGCAAAGCATTTATACAAATATTTGTAGCCATCTCCAAAATGTTAAAAACTGCCATTGGGATGATTAGGTTAAGATTCGCTGTCGGAGGACACTAGCCCTGGTCTTGATAAATGGGCGCGTTCCTAAAGGTTTTCTCCCCAACGGATATATAGATATAGACTGTATATCAGTTTAAACATTTCACTTGTCAAACTCAAACAACTTTGCCCCTTGTATGAGACATTTATAACCTGGTTGAACAAGCTAACACGTGGCTAAACTTGCTAACCAATAGCCCTATACAAAGACCTTATGTGAAATCAACATTACATATGCAACAATTTCAACGTTTCACTAGTCAAACAGAAACAACAAAGTTAGCCCTTTGCATGATACATTTATAAAAATGATCTGGTTAAGCAAGCCTTGAAAAAGTACCTAACCACGCGGCTAAACTTTGCTTACAGATAGCCAAATACTAAGACAGGCGGTAAATTAGTTAACTATCTTGACACTAAATGTACACTGAAAAAAAACTCTTCACATTTAAAACAACACCATTTCAAATCCTTACCATATTTAAGTGTTCCTGGATCGGACCTTCTCACGGACAGCGCGGGTGTAGTGGGCTAATCTTGCAGTGACCTTGCTTTGTCCACATCATGTGGTCATGTGACATTCTTTGAAGTGAAAAATCATGCTGTAAAAAGAAACCACGATTTCTAATTAGACCATTTGAAAAATGTACTTTGATTAAATGAAAGTCGTTTTAGTTTTTTTAGTGCAAGACGACATTCAATCACGCCAATTTCAATCAGTTGTTATTCTCAGTCTTTATTTTTTGTTGGATTTCTTTCTCTTTGTTTTAAAATGAGTTTAGTTTATGTTTTTTTTGTAGTTTGAGGTAAACCACACCTGTCATCATAGAGCTCATTTGCCTTTTGGTGTGCACTACTGTATAAATGAATGTGCTGTGCTGTTTCTCTCTTGTTTGCTGCACAGCCATCTTGTACCAAAGTGGACCAACTTCACCCAAGACAATCTCCCCTTGGCCCTCTGACCTTTGCAAAGGATGCAGGTGAGAGCAAACGCTGTCCGTGCTTCTCCTTGAAGGGACCTTTCTGTTAATGCCTTAGTCAGCTCTCTCTGTGTGTGTGTGTGTGTGTGTGTGTGTGTGTGTGTGTGTGTGGTGTGTGTGTGTGTGTGTGTGTGTGTGTGTGTGTGTGTGTGTGTGTGTGTGTGTTGTGTGTGTTGTGTGTGTGTGTGTGTGTGTGTGTGTGTGTGTGTGTGCTGATGTGTGTGTGTGTGTGTGTGTTGTGTGTGGTGTGTGTGTGTGTGTGTGTGTGTGTGTGTGTGTGTGTGTGTGTGTGTGGTGTGTGTTGTGTGTGTGTGTGTGTGTGTGTGTGTGATGTGTGTGTGTGTGTGTGTGTGTGTGTGTGTGTGTGTGTGTGTGTGTGTGTGTGTGTGTGTGTGTGTGTGTGTGTGTGTGTTTGTGTGTGTGGTGTGTGTGTGTGCTGTGTGTCGTGTGTTGTGTGTGTTGTGTGTTGTGTCGTGTGTCGTGTGTGTTGTGTGTGTGTGTGTGTGTGTGTGCGTGTGTGCTGTGTGTGTGTGTGCTGTGTGTGTGTGTGTGCTGTGTGTGTGTGTGTGCGTGCGTGTGTGTGCTGTGTGTGGTGTGTGTGTGTGTGCCGGTGTGTGTGTGTGTGTGATGTGGTGTGTGTGGTGTGTGTGTGTGTGATGTGTTTGTGTCCTTGCCGACCGGTCTAACCTGAAAGTCTCTCTAACATAAAAGCTCATATAAAACAAACAGGTCTGTCGTTGTCTCGGGAGATTTGGCTCGAGACCCGGGAAGTCATTCCTCTTTGTGGAGGCGGATTAATACTCACTTCCTTTTTGCCCAAACTTTAGGGAGGTGTTGACATTTGATATGAAGTTTTCACTACTTTAAGTCACCCATTAGACATACTGCATAAACTGCTAAATACACAGGTTTTGTGTGTGTGTGTCAGGGCGATCATTGAAAAAGTAAGAGAATGCTACTCAAAAACTTGGAAGAAGCAAGAAGACAATTACAGAAGCCTCAGGTAATTGTATTTGTTTACATTTTGTTTAAAATATTGACAAAAGGTTTTGGCCAGAATTGTAATTAATAGTCCATGCAGGCAAAGATTAGCTGTTTCTCAGCGGAAGAGTATAAACGCTAAACATTGTCACAGTTTGGGACTATTCAGTGAGTTGGTTTTAAAAGTTAAAAGAAACGATCCATGAAGCAACGCCCAGGAGTGCCACATCATCCAACAATTTGCATCTGAATCCGTTGGTTTTCTTATGTAATCAAAAATCTTAAAAATGTATAGCATGAGTCAGAGTTTGGTAAAACAGAGCGACTTCACCTGAAGATAACTTTAACTCACCTTGATGATTATGGAATTAAAATCCTTATAAGAAAGAAGATACATTTTAAATATAATCTGAACTAATTGCCACTTGCTGTGTTTGGCAAATTATAAAGCTTTCTGTTCAAAACTCCTGACTTGGATGTTTCTTAACAAAGTCCTTGTGTTACCACAGCTCTCAGCTGAGAAGTCAGTGCCAGGGATTTGACAGGGCCATCATTACCCAGGCCAACACTCCAGTGGGATCAAATATTGTGTACGCTGCGGAAAACAACAAGACCCTCGAGGTGACTCCAGGAATTTTCAGCACCTTCATAAAGGTATGTCATTTTTCATTCATGGATAGTATCCAGGGGCGGACTGGCCATCTGTGTGTTTTGGAGAATCACAGAACGGCCGGTCGTCAGCGGGCCATCGACGGCCGGCTCGGTTCGCTGACGGCCGGCACCGCCCTTTATTTGTTATGTTTTTGAACGGCATCATTTAAGTTGTGCTGACAGGCGACAGAGGTCCGTTCAGCGGGCCGTTTCCACGCTTCCCCCCCCCCCCCCCCCATTGACAGTTCACGAGCCCCCCCCCCCCCCCCCCTCCCCGTTGACAGTTCATGAGCGTGCTCTACCAATTTGTGTGGGCTGGGCTGGCTGAGATTCCAGGGCTGATTTTTAGTCCCAGTCCGCCCCTGATAGTATCACAGCATCTTCTGCTTGTTGTCTTTATTGTTCCTTAAATGGCTCAGAGATGATAAATTATGTGTTTAGTTACATGGTGACTGGTTGATACAAACGACCACCGATGACCACCCGTTCAAAAACACACATGCATGCACGCACATACTCACGCACACACAGAATTATTATTTCTATAAAAAAAATGAGATTTGAAGTGAGGACCTCTTAATCTGACGAATGCTGTAAAAAAACCTACAATCTTATTTCAATATACAGCATGACCTGCTTTTAATGATATATTTGTAAATGTGAAATAATTCTAGTTTTTAGAAAATTGGTAACTGGCTTCACACCAAAAAAAAGAGCATCCAGTACACTTTCTAGGACAACACCAGTCTACAAAGTTTGCATTCATTTTGATATCAACTGTCTCATCCATGGAGACAACAACTTTGTCAGGACTAACCGGAATAGTTCAGAAAAACAGTCACCGATTCAGAGTAGATTTCAGGTTCGAGGAAACAGCCCACTGCTCCTGATACTGGGATGGTTTAAATACAGAGGCTACATTTCACTGTGTGAGATCAGCTGAGACGCCAAATCCGGCCAAGGGGCGTAAACCCTTGCACACTTCCAACCCCTTTTATCTGCGCCCTAGCTCAAACCGCAGCTTCAAACTCTTATTTTGATCTCAGATACACTATAGTCAGTTATTTTTGAGAATTGTGCGCTGTTTCAGTAAGTTTAAAACCGTAAAAGAATGTAGGGAATCAATAACGCAACTCAAACACCTCAATTGTACATTAAATAAATACTCACATGTTAACACATGTTGATAGTGTTGTAGGTGTCAGGACCTCGACACAAACTGATGAACCCAAATGCACGACCCAGAGAAAAAGTCTTGAATATAAAAAAAGTATATTTATTTTCACAGTTTCAGGTAATCCCTCTACAGTAGGTGGTGGAAATAACAAAAGGCGCTCACAAGGAGGAAAAAACTAGCGTAACAAAAAGAGGACTTAATAAAATCTTTAAGCCAACAAGATAAACAAAATAACAAAACCTGACATGAGTCAAAAGCGATCCTTTCAGAGCTGAGGCTTGGCACGACCATTCGGGGAAACAAACAAGACAAACTGACACAGGACAGGGGAGAGACAGGACTATTTAAACATGAGGTGAGTGGGAACAGGTGGAAACAATCAGGGGCGGGGCAGAAGCTGATGATGGCGGGAAAAACATACAAGGTAGGGCTGAACGATTAATCTATTTTAAATCGAAATCGCGATTTTAAATGATGCGATTATCAAATCGCAAAGCCTGCGATTTTTTTAACTTTTTATTTTTTACTATTTTTTGTGTCAGTCATCCACACCAATCAGAAGTGCTGTGCTCCACATGTACCAGCCATTGTTAATCAATCAGAAGTGGCCCATGATAGAAGGTGATAGACAGATTGATCCAATCACCTGCCAAGTGTTTTTGAAAGTGCCTGCCCTTTTCCAAATGGCTTCCAATGGAGCTTTCCTAGATGGTTTGGGGAAACAAAGCATTGGAGTCAGGATAGTAATGCTCCATCACGTGTTTCTATTACAGGGTGAACCTTAAACTGAAGCTTGACTTTAAAGCAACCCAACGGAAGTTTCATGTAAGTTTAGTTCTTTCACTCGTAGCTCGGGCTGCGGAGGTGCTAGAGACGGGAGCACTTGATACGACCTTCCTAGCCGGAGTTATGGCCGCATTTTACAATAAACTTCCGTTGGGTCGCTTAAAAATAAATATCGCAAATCGAATCGCAATATTTGTCCCAAAATCGTACAGTCCTAATACAAGGGGAGGAAGAAACAGGGCCTGAAATGAAAGACAAGAGGTAAGTACAAAATAAAACAGGAAATAACAGACAAAATACATAAACATATACACATTTGACGAGACACAACAGTAGATTTGCAAACAAGATCCAGACAAAGATCCCCATGGCTCTTGCTCATTCACAAACATGATATAATCATATGCATGTTATTGTTCTGTAATAAACATTTTCATTGGTTTTATTTCCAGGAGAATCCATTTCCAAAGAAAAAATGGGACACGTGTGCTGTTGTTGGGAACTCAGGGATTCTGACAAACAGCAGCTGTGGAGAGATTATTGATTCGGCTCAGTTTGTTATCAGGTGAGAAAGCTGTCAAGATCAGAGGACTGAAAGGCTGATTGCGACATAAATCCACAGAATAATTCCAAATAATAATTTCTGACTTGTCTGTTATGCCTTTTCAGGTGCAACCTACCTTCTTTGGGTAAAGGCTATGAGAAACATGTGGGCACCAAGACTGACCTTGTGACAGCCAACCCAAGCATTATGCTGAAGGAGTGAGTAAATAAATGAGTCTCACTGCACCAATAGTGTTTCCTTGGTGTTGTTGCTTGACATATTTTTATTTTCAGGTATGGAGGTCTAATGGGACCACGCCGTCCATTTGTGGAGAGTCTACATAGCTACGGCAAATCCATGATGGTTCTTTCCCCCTTCTCCTATGCACACACCACTCCGGTGTGCCTGAGGGCAGTATACAGCATTAGGGACTTTGAAAGTCCCATTCAGCCCATGTTCTTCAACCCTGATTACTTCCAGAGTCTGGCCCTCTTCTGGCGCTCCAGAGGCCTACACAGAGGCCTACTCAGCACCGGCTTAGTGATGGTTAACATAGCGCTGGAACAATGTGCCAACGTGCATCTGTACGGTTTCTGGCCCTTCAGTAATCACCCATTTGAACTCAATGCGGTGAATAACCACTACTACGATGATCTAAAAGCTGCATGGACTGTCCACTTCATGCCTGCTGAGTTTGACCTCTTGTTGCGGCTGCACAGTCAAGGTGTGCTGAGGCTTCACCTGGGAAACTGTCGACCGGGTAAAAATGAGTTCCCAGGTCCAGAGATAGATAGATATCAATAAAGTCCAATTTGTCCCATAAAAGGTACGTGCCACTTTCTAGCACATTATGATATGAGTTCATGATGATGATATGAACTCATGGGCATCTGAAGAATCGGGACATTTCCTGGTGGACTGAGGGTTAATCTCAGAATTTGTCTCTAAACTATGCCTTTTCAATCCAATCCACTCACTCTCCCCCCATATCAGTTCCTAGACCATCTGAGCAGAGGGCTAAACCAGAAGGTGCAATAGAATATATTGTCACTCACACCAATTATTACATTTGATAAATAATTAGGATCTCAACTTTGATAAAAAATCATTAGTATTGTCATTTTGGCCATAATAGTCATCATCTTTTACTTTTTCCAGCAAAATTGCAAGGAAATGGTTATTCAAAATATAACTTTCAGTCATGGAAAGGTTTCGCTATTTGAAAAGATGTGTGTTTATTGACACATTGTGAGATGTAAAGGAATTCCAGTTAGATACAAATACATACATATGTAATATTCACTCTGAAATGTTGTGATGGAATAGTATAAAGTTGCATGAAATGGAAATACTCAAGTTCATCAAAATTGTACTTAAGTAGAGAAATTGAGTAAATGTATAGGTAACTTAAATATTGTGGAAACTCAAATGATTAAGATGTATTTATGTTTTTAAAATGGAAATACAAGAGCAACATAGGCTAATAAATGATTAATCATTATGCATATAATAATCTCATAGCCTATTCATATACTGTATGATTGTCAATGGCAAAGTCAGGGGGAACTTACTCATCAATAGAACAGGAACTTCCAACTGCTGCCAAGAGGTCGCACTATTCATATTCTAGGGTTCAATCAGTTGTGTTTGATTTTGTTTTTGTTGTTTATCTTTTTCTATAATTGATATAAATCTTCGAAGTAACTAAAAAAAGTACAAAGGACAATTTGTTCCTCTGGGTTAACTTAACAAGCCTCTTCATTGCTACTGTCACCTTACTATTCATTGTATAGCATTGTGTGAAGGAGGGAGGGACATATAGAACATGGGTGGACCAAAGAGAAATGACGAAGACCAAAGTTAAGTAGGAGTTCAACAAACAAGGATATTAGTTTTTATACCCATCTGACCCAGACGCAAACAGAAGGGGAAAGACACAGATAAAGTGCAGTGAAGAGGACTTGCAGAAAGAGATCGGGATGAAGCGACACCCTGAGAAGTTATCTATCTCTTTGATGATCACTGCATGTCCTCTGTTTGGGGAGCCTGCTGACAACTGCTCTCTGGATCATTGTGGACAACAGGTAAGCATGTCATACTTGTTCCAACAACCTGTTGAACAGGTTTTTTGTTTACCCAGGTATATGTTCCTCACAAGGCATAATTTGTTTTAGTTGTTAAAGGTGGGGTAGGTAAGTTTGAGAAACCGGCTCGAGATACACTTTTTGTTATATTCCATGGAATGCTCTTAACATCCCGATAGCAATGAATATCTGAAGTGCTTTGACAAAAAATCCATAAAAAAATGTCATCTGTGGAAGCCGTAATACTGTAAAAAGTACAACCAATCCGTTGAGCCGGCCCGGCTAAACGGATTGGATTGCCGCCCTGTCTGTCAGCCTTCCATCTTGTGCACGCACGCACAAATGTATCTCGTGCCGTCATTGGGCGTGCATTGCAGCAGTACTTCAATGACTCGCCAGCAACAGGCGGCCACTTTCACCAGTCTGCTGACGTCATGTGCGCGCATTCATGTGTGTTGGAGGAGGTGCTCTGTAAGGAAGTCTGAAGGAAGGGGTGGATTCTTTTCGGCTGTGTACTTTCAAATGTTAGTGCACTCGAGCCGGTTTCTGAAACGTACCTACCCCACCTTTTAAGTGTTCCGATTTGGTGGAACCTCAAAAATGTAAGGTAAGTCAAATATATTCATTCTGTCTAACCCCACCAGGAACGTCTGCGCTGCGGCTGCGGCATTTTTAGCGATCGCGGCCACCAGTGGCGGCTGGTGGAAAATATTTTTGGTGGGGCTTTTGATATAGTGAGTAAAACAATTTTTTTTGGGAGAAATGACCCCTGAAATTAGGACTTCTGGTGATGTAATGGCGCGTTTCCAGTGCAGTGCGGAGCTCGCTTTAATGCTGCGTTCAGACCGGACGCGATGCGAATATTCGCTTCGCTCTAAACGCTCCTATCGCATCGCTCTAGTCGCTCGAGTTTCACCGCGGCTGCCAGCTGTGTTTACTCGCATCATTCAAACAAGACCCGCTGGCTCGGGAGCTACAACTACAACAAAATGAACATATTACCGTGATTTAATTGTAATACACGTTTCTAAATGATGCCGACGTAACAACATACTGATACCGGTTAGTAAAAACCATGAATTAATGCTTTGACAAGTCTGCAGACAGACAGCAAGCGAAAAACCTTTTAGAATGCTTGTTTTCTGAATGGAGCTTGGCTAAGCTAACGTTATATATGTTCCGACCGTCCACACTCACAACAACGACCTATACAGACATACATAAACCAGCGACTGTATTCTCCATGACACAGACAGTCTGTGGTTTGTACTTGTTTAACTTTTGTCTAGTTTTTGAACAGATCGTATCTGTTTGAAGAGCAAGCATGGGAAACAAAAGATAGCATTTACCTGTTTGCATCGTTTGCATCCAGCTAGCCTCGTTGATACGTTTTGTCTTTTTCACGAGCTTGCTGTGATATATACAAATCGGGTTGGTCCGGTCCAAGGTCTTTAAGTATCAATTTATCTCCCAAACTTCTCCTTTGGAAAGGATTGGAGAGTAGCTCTTGCACGGAACTGGGTGCGGACCGAGGTCCGGCGACTCCCCCTGCACACCATTCTAAATACTGCGTCACCTTGGTCACTCACGAGTCTAAAAAACAACTCACGTCACGTAAGCAACGTGGGCGCCAACGTGAGCGCCCTCGTGACCAAAATATTTGACGGCGCTGATTGGCTGAAATTATGTTTCGGTGGCACAGTTTACTATTGAGACTTTTGCAACGTGCTGGTTGCTGCTGTTTGTCTCGGGGGCTCCGCCCGGTTATGATAAACTAATGCCACGGGCAAGGCCAGGCAGGAAACATGTGACTTATCAGTAACTTTAGACATCGTAACACAATTTTAAACGAGATTTTATTGTAGATTATACATTTTACTGATACCAATTGTATGATATTTACCTTGTTCATTAAAAATAAAAATATAAAATATATATATTTTTTAAATATTTTTTTTTTAATTTAATATTTTTTTATATATATTTTTTAATGTGGGAAGAGGTGGGGCGGCGCCCCTAGCGCCCCTATGGACCGGCCGCCACTGGCGGCCACTCTAGTCAATGGGTGCTATTCCACAAGACCCGCTGCGCCGCGGCTCGAAGCGTCCCAGAAGCTCCTCGCCGCAAGGAATTTCTAAAATATAGGATGAATCCTATTTTTGACGCGGCGCAGGCAGGAAGTGGAACGTTCATCCAACAACTGCGAGGCTGCACACACGACGCTCCGCTTCCACAACGTTTTGAAACCCGCCTGGTGGGTTATGACGTAGGAGGAGGTCGCAGCGCGGCGCAGACGCTTCCGGTGGGATCAGGGGGTTACCCCTAGTTTCCACCGGGTCCCTCTGCGGCGCGTTGCGGCTGCGCCGCGGCGTCCGCCAGGATCGCGGCCACTCTAGTCAATGGGTGCTATTCCACCAGACGCGCCGTGTTACGGCTCAGAAGCGTCCCAGAAGCGTCCCAGAAGCGTCTAAGGCTAACCCCCAAAACACACCAGGAGCGTCTGCGTCGCGTTACGGCCGCGCCGCGGCGGTCGTAAGGATCGCGGCCACTCTAGTCAATGGGTGCTATTACACCACACGCGCCGCGTTACGGCCCGTCTACACTACAGGCGTCAAAACATGCTTTCAACGCTTCGCCCATTCATTTGAATGGGGTGACGTAGGATATTTTCAAACTTCGCCGAACTGCATTGTGGGTAGCATGGCAAGGCGTTGCAAGCATCGCGAGCGTCTATCGGCGTCAAAAGTTGAACAATGTTCAACTTTTGAGGCTCGATGCTTGCTCGAAGCTGGCGTCAGCCAATGAAATCCCGTGTATGCAAATCTGCCAGTACAAGCGCTAGCCAATCAAACCGCGTGTATGCTGGGAGAGACTACGCAGGTCATTTCCTCATATTCAAAAAAATGGAGGGAAAATTCATTATAGCGGTAGTGAATCACCCGGTGCTGTATGATCAGTCTCTGTTTATCTACCGGGATACAAACCAGAGGAGCGAGGCATGGAGGGAGGTGGCAGAGACAGTGGGTGAAACTGGTAGGTTTTCGCCTGTTTGGGGATTTTATATCCAGTTTACTTCGTTTTAACATTGCTATTGCTTTGTATGTCGGGGGCGGGAGATTCATGTGATTGGTTGTTGGTCGCGTTGCTCGCAAAAAATCGCCAAGCCTCAGCCACGCCCAGCTTCGAGCTTTTTCGACGCCTGTAGTGTAGACGGGCCGTTACGGCTCAGACGCGTCCCAGAAGCGGCTCGGTGCAGCGCTTCTCTAAAATTAGGATGAACCCTATTTTTGCCGCGGCGCAGCCGTAAGATAAACTCCTCCCCCCATCCCCCCGTAGTCTTTCAAGTAGGAGAATACATGCCAGCGTTCTCCTCCGGTTTACAGGCACTGTAAATGATATATATATATATAGAATAATTATGATGATGAATGCATATTTTTTTACCACTAAAATACAGCAACACATATTTGATTCATGTCGTTTATAACTGGAATATTACAATTATTATTAACTGTGTCTGTCTACAACACAACAAAATAGGAAATAACAACAATAAACACGATTTAAACAGACACAAACATAAACCATTTAACTACGTATAGCCTACTTGTAGAAGTACAAATGTCCAGGAAATATTCCAAAATCAACAACAACTGCGAGGCTGCACACACGACGCTCCGCTTCCGCAACGTTTTGAAACGCGTCTGGTGTGTGTTGTCGCAGGAGGAGGTCGCAGCATGGCGCAGCCGCAACGTAACGCGGCGCAGACGCTCCTGGTGTGTTTTGGGGGTAAAAGCCTTCCCAAATATTTGTGTCACTGCATCCTGGTAAAATAAAAATATAATGTTTGTGTCTTTGACATTAGCGCTGCTAGCCACCTGTGCCCTGTAGGCCTACTACGAAGCCAGTTCAACAGACCCTGGATATGTTTGAGTAACAAACAAACTAACAACAACAAACTAACAAACGAGATCTCGCTAAGCGGTCCTACGACGCTGGTTATCAACTCGGTAAATCAAGCCAGGGTTTCTCTCTCCAGCTGAGAGCGCATTCATGTGAAAGGGGCGGGGTTAGCAACATTTGACCAATCAAAAACAGGGACAAGTGTACTGACAGCGCAGCGTCATACTTCAGTAATGAAAAGTAAACTAATATTAGACAAATGAGCTTTAAACATCCATGACTTAAACAT